TCAAGCATGAAAAGCCTTCTCTGTCAGAACTCTAGTGCCACAACAAACTAAAAATCCCAGGATTCCATAGGATGGGGCCATGACAGTTAAAGTGGTGTCAAACTGCATTAATTTTGAAATGTGGCAACACATTACATGTGCATTTACACTACACAGTTGTTGCAGTTTGCTGCCACTTCAATTGTTTTGGCTGTGTCTCTTATGCAATTTAGGGAGCTGAAGTTTGACAAGGGACAGAAACTTGTATCTTAGAATAGTGTTTCTCACACTTTGGTCCTCCTGTTGTGTTGGATGTCAACTTCCAATATCCCCCTCTTAACCAATATTCAGGCATTCTGTTCTGGGAGCTAAATCCAAATTACCTGGAGGACCAAAAATTGAGAACCACTTTCCTAGGGTTTGTCTATATGATTAAAATACTCCTCATTCTATTCACATAAAATGTGATCCCTTCACATGTGATCTGGAGGAATCCAGGTTTTTGCAGCGTGTGGGGGGGAACTCCTCAAACTTTACAGAAAAATAAATTGAGATTTTTACCAGAGTATCTGTGAGGATATACATTATCAAATGTGTGGCTGTCTGCTCCACATGGATTTGCATGGTTGAGAATTTTTTGGCAGAAGGAAGGCAGATGAATGGATAGGCGGATCATCACATGAGCTTTTCCTGCCAGAAAACAGAACTACACAAGCATCTATTCGCAAACTGGCAGTAGCACTATTTTTGAGTATTTGTGTGTGCACACATGCTCTGGTGCCTGTGTGCTGAGGTGATCATATGCATTTGTTCTTATCTTATCAGCAACTTTTTATAAAGCTTTTCAGACCCAACAGCTTTTTAAAATGCTAATAATAAAAAAATTAAACTTAGTTGCATATAAGCCTTCTTTAATCTTCTGAACTTTTTTGAGCCAGAATGATATACTGGTTTGAATGTTGGACTACAACTCTGGAGACCAGGGTGCGATTCCCAGCTTGGCTATGAAACCCAGTGGGTGACCTTGGGCAAGTCATGCCCTCTCAGCCTCAGTAGAAGGCCATGGCAAACCTTCTCTGAAGAAATCTTGCCCAAAAAAAACCATGATAGGTTCACCTCAGGGGTGCTGTAAGTTGGAAATGTCTTGAAGGCACACAACAACAACAAAGTCCTTTGAACTACAGCACTACTAGAGCTCTCTAGCAGCAAACTGCCTTAAGAAACAAATCCAAGGATACCCAAAGATGGAACCATAGCATATAAAATGGCATCATAGTGCAATAACTATATCTGTAGCTGAGGACAACTGTAACACTTGACAAAATGTAGGCCTTTTACTCTAACATTGTTCATTTTTTTATTCTTCTGTGCTTTGTTTTATTTTTGTCACTTTTGCCTGATGAAGAAGCCAGTGGAGCTTCAAAAACTCACATCATGTATTTTATGCATTTTGCTTGGCCCAATAAAGGGATCACTGGTTTGTGGACTTTGGATGTTAAAACTGATGCAACAATATTTAGTATAACAATGACTTGTTAGTATATGTAGATGATGGTTTTCATAGCCTCCATTGACAGGGATGTCATGATGTGGAATACAAAGATCTAGCCTTCTCTCTCTCGCTGTTACCCACCATACATTGGGAGGTGAGCATTTAATATGTTATTTTATTGATATTAAGTAGCTCAGAAAGGCCTAATAAAAATGCCTGAGATCCCATAGGGCCAGTATGCTAGTATAATGAGCATAACATCACCAGTTCTCTGTGTGCTTGGCTGTTTCCTCAAATGCTTGGCTACTGTGGATGGGAGAGCCAGCATGGTG